GGGGGGGTCCCAGGGGTGATTTTTGGGGTTCCCTGGGGATGTTTTGGGGGTCCCAGAAAGGTTTTGGGGTTCCCAGGAGAAATTATAGGGGTCAGAGAGGGGTTTTTGGGGCTCCTAGGGTGGATTTTGGGGTTCCCAGGGTGTGTTTTGGGGTTCCCAGGGTGTGTTTTGGGGTCCCAGGTGGTGTTTTGGGGGTTCCCAAGGGGGTCCCGGGGATGTTTTGGGAGGTCCCAGGGGTGATTTTGAGGTTCCCAGGGCTGTTTTTGGGGTCCCCAGGATGATTTTTGGGTTTCCCAGGATGATTTTTGTGGTTCCCAGGGTGATTTTTGGGGTCCCCAGGATGATTTTTTAGGGTCCCAGGATGATTTTTGTGGTTCCCAGGGGATTTTTTGGGGTCCCAGGGCTGTTTTTGGGGTTCCCAGTGTGATTTTGTGGTCCCAGGATGATTTTTGGGTTTCCCAGGATGATTTTTTGGGTTCCCAGGGGGTGTTTTGGGGTTCCCGAGGGGGTCCCGGGGATGTTTTAGGGGTTCCAGGGTGATTTTGGGGTCCCCAGGATGATTTTTGGGTTCCCAGGGTGATTTTTGGGGTCCCCAGAATGATTTTTGTGGTCCCAGGGCTGTTTTTGGGGTTCCCAAGTTGATTTTTGGGGTCCCAGGATGATTCTTGTGGTGCCCAGGATGATTTTCGGGTTTCCCAGGATGATTTTTTGGGTTCCCATGATAATTTTTGGCGTCCCATGATGATTTTTGGGGTCCCCAGGGGGCGTTTTGGAGTTCCCGAGGGGGTCCCAGGGCTGTTTTAGGGGTTCCCAGGATGATTTTTGTGGTCCCCAGGGCTGTTTTTGTGTTTCCCAGGATGATTTTTGGGTTCCCATGATGATTTTTGTGGCTCCCAGGATGATTTTTGGGGTCCCAGGATGATTTTTGTGTTTCCCAGGATGATTTTTGGGGTCCCAGGATGATTTTCGGGTTTCCCAGTGTGATTTTTGGGGTTCCCATGATAATTTTTGGGTCCCCATGATGATTTTAGTGGCTCCCATGATGATTTTTGGGGTCCCCATGATGATTTTTGGGGTCCCCGGGATGAATTTTTGGGGTGCCCGGACCTGATGTAGGTGCTCTGGTCCCGGAAGGCGTCGCACAGGGGGTTCCCATCGAGCCACAGCTCCTGGAGCTTCAACCCCTTCAGCTTGTCCAGCTCG